AAGAAGACGGACGAGGGCGGCAATGTTACCGTCTATGAAGCTCGACTTGTGGGAAAGGGTCTTTTCACAAGTTCAAGGAGTTGACTACGATGAGAATTTCTCACCCGTAGCGATGCTTAAGTCTGTCGAAATCATGTTAGCATTAGCTGTATTTTTCGATTATGAAATCTGACAGATGGATGTCCAAAACAAGTTTTCGTAAGAAAAAGTTGTATGTGATACAATAAAAGGTTTTGTCGATCCTAAGTATGCTAAAAGGCATGCTGGCTCCAGCAATCCTTCTATGGACTAGAGCAAGCATCTCGGAGTCGGAATATATGCTTTGATGGAGTGATCAAAGCTTTTAGGTTTATACAATGTTTGCTAGAAACTTGTATTTACAAGAAAGTGAGTGGGGGCACTACAACATTTCTGATAAGTATATGTGAAGGAAATATGCCCTAGAGGCAATAATAAAGTTATTATTTATTTCCTTATATCATGATAAATGTTTATTATTCATGCTAGAATTGTATTAACCGGAAACATAATACATGTGTGAATACATAGACAAACAGAGTGTCACTAGTATGCCTCTACTTGACTAGCTCGTTAATCAAAGATGGTTATGTTTCCTAACCATGGACAAAGAGTTGTTATTTGATTAACGGGATCACATCATTAGTTGAATGATCTGATTGACATGACCCATTCCATTAGCTTAGCACCCGATCGTTTAGTATGTTGCTATTGCTCTCTTCATGACTTATACATGTTCCTATGACTATGAGATTATGCAACTCCCGTTTGCCGGAGGAACACTTTGTGTGCTACCAAACATCACAACGTAACTGGGTGATTATAAAGGAGCTCTACAGGTGTCTCCAAAGGTACATGTTGGGTTGGCGTATTTCGAGATTAGGATTTGTCACTCCGAATGTCGGAGAGGTATCTCTGGGCCCTCTCGGTAATGCACATCACTTAAGCCTTGCAAGCATTGCAACTAATGAGTTAGTTGCGGGATGATGTATTACGGAACGAGTAAAGAGACTTGCCGGTAACGAGATTGAACTAGGTATTGGATACCGACGATCGAATCTCGGGCAAGTAACATACCGATGACAAAGGGAACAACGTATGTTGTTATGCGGTCTGACCGATAAAGATCTTCGTAGAATATGTAGGAGCCAATATGGGCATCCAGGTCCCGCTGTTGGTTATTGACCGGAGATTTGTCTCAGTCATGTCTACATTGTTCTCGAACCGTAGGGTCCGCACGCTTAAGGTTTCGATGACAGTTATATTATGAGTTTATGAGTTTTGATGTACCAAAGGAGTTCGGAGTCCCGGATGAGATCGGGGACATGACGAGGAGTCTTGAAATGGTCGAGACGTAAAGATCGATATATTGGACGACTATATTCGGACTTCGGAAAGGTTCCGAGTGATTCGGGTATTTTTCGGAGTACCGGAGAGTTACGGGAATTCGCCGGGAGAAGTATTGGGCCTTATTGGGCCATACGGGAAAGAGAGAGGGGCTGCCTAGGGCAGGCCGCGCACCCCCCCAAGGCCTAGTCCGAATTGGACTAGGGGGAGGGGCTGCGCCCCTTCCTTGTTTCCTACTCCTACTACATGGAAGGACTCCTAGTTGGACTAGGAAAGGGGGAATCCTACTCCCGGTGGGAGTAGGACTCCCCTATGGCGCGCCATAGAGTTGGCCGGCCTCCTCCTCCTCCATCCTTTATATACAGCGGCAGGGGGCACCCCATAGACACACAAGTTGATCCTTGAGATCCTTCCTTAGCCGTGTGCGGTGCCCCCTGCCACCATATTCCACCTTGATCATATTGTAGCGGTGCTTAGGCGAAGCCCTGCAACAGTGGAACATCAAGATCGTCACCACGCCGTCGTGCTGACAGAACTCTTCCTCGACGCTTTGCTGGATCGGAGCCCGAGGATCGTCATCGAGCTGTACGTGTGCTAAGAACTCGGAGGTGCCGGAGTAACGGTGCTTGGATCGGTCGGATCGGGAAGACGTACGACTACTTCCTCTACGTTGTGTGATCGCTTCCGCAGTCGGTCTGCGTGGGTACGTAGACAACACTCTCCCCTCTCGTTGCTGTGCATCACCATGATCTTGCGTGTGCGTAGGAATTTTTTTGAAATTACTACGTTCCCCAACAATATGTGGATGACATATTGCTGATTCGAAATAATGTAGAATTTCTGGAAAGCATAAACGGTTGTTTGAAGAGTGTTTTTCAAAGGAAGACCTGGATAAAGCTGCTTACATATTGGGCATCAAGATCTATAGAGATAGATCAAGACGCCTGATGATACTTTCAAAGAATGCACACCTTGACATATTTTTGAAGGAGTTCAAAATAGATCAGTCAAAGAAGGGGTTCTTACCTGAGTTGTAAGGTGTGAAGTTGAGTAAGACTTGAAGATTGACCACGACAGAAGAAAGAGGAAGGACGAAGGTCGTCCCCTATGCTTTTGTCATAGGCTCTATACGGTATGCCATGCTGAGTACCACACCTGATGTGTGCCTTGCCACATGTCTGGCAAGAGGGTACAAAGGTGATCTAGGAGTGGATCACCGGATAGCGGTCAAAAATTATCCTTAGAGGAATAAGGAAATGTTTCTCGGTTATGGAGGTGATAAAGAGTTCGACGTAAAGAGTTACGTCGATGCAAGCTTAACACCTATCCGGATAGCTCTGAGTAGAGATACCGGATACGTATAATGGAGCAACAATTTGGAATAGATCCAAGTGGAACGTGGTAGCAGCATCTACAATATGACATAAAGTTTTGCGAAATACATAGGGATCTGAATATGGCAGACCCATTGACTACAACCTCTCTCACAAGCATTGAGTGTTAATCACATAGTGATGTGAACTAGATTATTGAGCCTAGTAAACTCTTTGGATGTTGGTCACATGGCGATGTGACCTATGAGTGTTAATCACATGGCGATGTGAACTAGATTATTGACTCTAGTGCAAGTGGGAGACTGTTGGAAATATGCCCTAGAGGCAATAATAAATTATTTATTATTATATCATATTTCATTTTTCATGATAATTGTTTATTATCCATACTAGAATTGTATTGATAGGAAACTCAGATACATGTGTGGATACATAGACAACACCATGTCCCTAGTAAGCCTCTAGTTGACTAGCTCGTTGATCAATAGATGGTTACGGTTTCCTAACCATGGACATTGGATGTCGTTGATAACGGGATCACATCATTAGGAGAATGATGTGATGGACAAGACCCAATCCTAAGCCTAGCACAAAGATCGTGTAGTTCGTATGCTAAAGCTTTTCTAATATCAAGTATCATTTCCTTAGACCATGAGATTGTGCAACTCCCGGATACCGTAGGTGTGCTTTGGGTGTGCCAAATGTCACAACGTAACTGGATGGCTATAAAGGTACACTACGGGTATCTTCGAAAGTGTCTGTTGGGTTGGCACGAATCGAGACTGGGATTTGTCACTCCGTGGAACGGAGAGGTATCTCTGGGCCCACTCGGTAGGACATCATCATAATGTGCACAATGTGATCAAGGAGTTGATCACGGGATGATGTGTTACGGCACGAGTAAAGAGACTTGCCGGTAACGAGATTGAACAAGGTATCGGGATACCGACGATCGAATCTCGGGCAAGTATCGTACCGATAGACAAAGGGAATTGTATACGGGATTGATTGAATCCTTGACATCGTGGTTCATCCGATGAGATCATCGTGGAGCATGTGGGAACCAACATGGGTATCCAGATCCCGCTGTTGGTTATTGACCGGAGAGTTTTCTCGGCCATGTCTGCATGACTCCCGAACCCGTAGGGTCTACACACTTAAGGTTCGATGACGCTAGGGTTATAGGGAAAGTATGTACGTGGTTACCGAATGTTGTTCGGAGTCCCGGATGAGATCCCGGACGTCACAAGAAGTTCCGTAATGGTCCGGAGGTAAAGATTGATATATAGGAAGTATGGTTTTGGCCACTGGAAGTGTTCCGGGCATCACCGGTAGTGTACCGGGACCACCGGAGGGGTCCGGGGGTCCACCAGGTGGGGCCACCAGCCCCGGAGGCCTACATGGGCCAATAGTGGGAAGGGACCAGCCCCTAGGTGGGCTGGGGCACCTCCCACCAAGGCCCAAGGCGCCTCCAAGAGGGGAGGGGGGCAAACCCTAGGGCAGATGGGCCCTAAGGCCCACCCCAGGTGCGCCTCCCCCTCTTCCCCTTGTGGCCGCCACCCTAGATGGGATCTGGGGCTGCCGCACCCCTTGGGGTGGGAACCCTAGAGGGGGCGCAGCCCCCTCCCCTCCCCCTATATATACTTGAGGTATGGGGGCTGCCCAACACACGATTTGATCTCCCTATTGGCGCAGCCCTACCTCTCTCCCTCCTCGTCTCTCGTAGTGCTTGGAGAAGCCCTACTGGAGTTCCGCGCTCCTCCACCACCACCACGCCATCATGCTGCTGCTGGGCGGAGTCTTCCCCAACCTCTCCTTCTCCCCTTGCTGGATCAAGGCGTGGGAGACGTCACCGGGCTGCACGTGTGTTGAACGCGGAGGCGCCGTTGCGCGGCGCTTAGATCGGAATCAACCGCAATCTGAATCGCTACGAGTACGACTCCTTCATCCACGTTCTTGCAACGCTTCCGCTTAGCGATCTACAAGGGTATGTAGATGCACTCCCCTTACCCTCGTTGCTAGATTACTCCATAGATTGATCTTGGTGATGCGTAGAAAATTTTAAATTTCTGCTACGATCCCCAACAAGTGCCTCACAGCACTGCCATGAATTGTGAACCATCAGGCAAGAAATTGAGTACAAAATATTGCGATACTCCAATTATAACAGCAGAGTAGTGACGACATAGTACATAGTCATTCTTATCGATGTTTCAGAACATTCTTACACACTCTTACAGCGGAAGTTGCTCCAGTCAGCAGTAATAGCCGAAGCCTAAAACAAGGAATGCGTTAACATCATCAACCATCACAGGGACTGGGAGAACATGCCAGGGAGAACCCACATAGGTTGCACTAAATTGCCATAGCTTATGAAAACAAAGTTGTTTCGGCTGGAGGCAGGCTTCCCCAGCTCAAATCCAGCCCAATGTTCGAAATCTTGGGAATAGTAGTACACGCAGTTGCTCCTCCCTCCCCACCTTTCCGGGTTCCTGAAAGATAATGGCTGGCTTCTTTTGTCGGTGCTGATGAAGATCGCCCAATTCTCCAACTCCTCCACCTTCACCCACATTGCATGTTCAGTCCACTGGTCAAGGCGGAAGACTTCAAAGGTATCCCCTCTTGCTGGAAACGATCCGTGACACCCGACCAAGAGAAGCATAACACCACACGCCACCAGATATAGGTTGGCAAGATGACCTAGGGGGATTTCCTCCCAACTGACTCCCATCATCTATACGCGAATCCAAGGTGCCAAGTGCACAACAAAGAGCATGCCACCAGAGTCCAAGCCGTATACCTGGCCTTTGAAGGTCACAATCTCCTGGACAGTTCCATCACAGGGACAAGCTCTCAACCAAGAGCGACTGCCAACACGCCAAAAGTAACTGTGGGATTCGTTGGTGACAATGAGATGTGGGTTGGGTGACTCTACAGGAGCCGTGAGGGCACCGTAGTAGACCTCGGTGGACTCGTCGCTCGGTATCTGTGGTGGTGAAAAACTAACACCTGTAAACACATCAACAATGAGACATGATCTGTTTCTGAAGAAGATGAGATGGCCATAAGAAGCACCTAGGAAGCAAAAACTACCCGGAGAATTTGGGGGGGGGGGTGATTATTTGCTCGAGAAAGATTAACTAGGGGAATCTGGTAGCCAATGCGCGAGTGTTTGTTGGCTGGATCAATGACATGACATGTATGCTTATCGCCAAGGGGGCGATGACATGGAGAGTGCACGGGGACATCCGGTTGCAGGAGCACAGGCGGGAAGATCATCAAGAAAATCCTAGCCAACATCAGATGAACACAATAAGCACTACTACGAAGATGTCGGGGCCCTCAACCATGTGTGTTTGTATCGGCAGGATTCGGTTGTTCGGTGATGCTTTATCTATAAAGAGGGGGGAAACCCTTTTTCGTAGAAGAACACAGGGCAAAAGCTGGGACACTGAAAAACCCTTCATCGTGGAGTTGCAGACGCTATATTGCATTGCCTTTGAACTCACACACAACAAAGAATGTATTGCCCTCAGTCGCCATGACACAACAAAGAAGCACACTCAGACACGAGCATCACTCGTATGACACTCGCCAGATTTTGACGTCGGTGCCATGTATGCTTCCAGCACCGCACTGAACCAGCGACCGAATGCCGCCACGGCGCCACCGTTACGACTTGCTCTAATCAGGGTTGAGGGGGCGAAGAAGGTAAGTTATGAATGGACTCTAAGAAATAATTTATATTCAAACATAATAATGAGGGGAAATTTTTCTAGAGTAGGGGGGCAATGGCCCCCTTTGGCCCCCATGAAGCTCCGCCGCTGGTCATGCCTTGGCAGGGGCCCAGGGCTATGTCGAAGCAAAAGCAAATTTCAATTTTCAACATGAATTTCCCGAGATCAATAATAAGATGTGTTTTGATGGCTTGCTTTCTACGGCATCGCGAGTTATGCATTGAGGTATATTTTTCTTGCTTTGGCACTTACAAACTTTCTATACATTTGCAGAAGGACCAGAACATAAAGCTACAGTAGTAGTGATTGCCGTGCTTGCGAGTATTGCACCACTCGTTGTCATTGTAGCATGGTATTATATTTGGAGGAGGAGGAGGACCAGGAGGAGGAGACGAGCAGCAAAAACAATAGAACGAAGTAAATCCTCTTATCCATTTCGAATTATTAAACTGTAGCACTGCAAGCATGCAATGAATCACCTTACGGGCAGGGAAGAGAATAGTGGTTTTAACTGACACCATTTGTGGATTCTTTTTTATACTTGTAACCTAATTCCGCTAAAAGAGTTTGTATCAGCATGTACCGACAAGGTTGAAAAGGGAAGATCCTTAGCAATTTTCAGCTAGATCCTACATATTCCCTGGGCTCCCTCTGTAAAGTATTATAAGCGTGTTTAGCTCAGTAAAGTAGTGATCTAAATGCTCTTATAATACTTTATGGAGGGAGTAACTTCTATTGTTGCCCTTATTTCCAACAGAATCAACAAGCTCAGATAACGCTCGCAATATCGAGTCTCTCCTCCTTGCACGCTGAGCGGCCAGTAACAACGCCACTGTTGGCGATGATGTCGTACCAACTACAACAGTATAGATAATCCATCACCCTTGGATTTCGCAATTGGACGGCGTGTATTGATTGTAGCGTACCATAAAAGAGCTGAGCTCTAATGGAAAGCCGGAAGCCGGTTCGCAAAAACTATATGACAAGGGCAAGATAACACATCATTGGGCTGTGCGATCAAACACGGCGAGGAGGCTAACAATCCTTTGGCCTGTCAAAATATATAAACTGCAAAAAATCGGCTAGTTTTCTTGTGAAATCATAAGTTGATCAGTGAGGCGCTAATAGTGTCTAACGAATCAATCCATCGAATGGTATGCATACCATTTTGCGGGCATGCGGATACGTAATTGAGACCATTTGACAAAATCTGCCAGTCGGCCAGTCCCAAATATTCCAGGGTTCTAAATTTGCTGCGATGCGAGAGAGAACCCAACCCTCGTAACGCATTCGGATCTCGATATTTCCTAGAGGACAACCGCATGGCCGTGTAGCAAACAGAGGATGGACTGATGGAGGAAAGGGATGGAGAGAAACTAGGGTTCAGCTAGGGTGCATGGGATCATCGCCGACCTTGTGGAGTGAGCTGGTGGCGGCGACAATGACGACGTGGTGGCCAGTGGCAGTGATCTCTTTCCTCCCCGAGAATGATAGTTTCACTCTGCTCTCTGTTCTCCCCACTCATCTGCAACTTCGAGACTTTTTCTTCATCTGGAAAAAATGGGGTTTAGGATCGAAAATGCTAAATGGAGGCCGAGCTCCATGAAGCTCTTTATTTTGAAAACTTTGAAAATCACATTTTGAAGTTTCAACAAAATCTGAAAAAAATCACATGCGTTCATACGGATGTGTAATACATGTGTGTGAAATTTGAAGATGATATACATTACGGTGGGAGCTACACAAAAAGTCAAAAATGTGATTTTAAAATGGTGAGCAGTACTAGACTTTTCACTATAAAAATGCACGAATTTGCCTTTTTTGTGTAGCTCTCACCATAATGTACTTCATCGTCAGGCTTTACACACATGTAAAACACATCCATATGAACGTGTATGATTTTTCCAGAATTTTTCAAAACTTGAAAAATATCATTTTTGATTTTTTCAAAAAAACGAGCTCCGTGGAGCTCGTCCTCCAAAATGCGGTACTCGGTTTTGGATGGGCTACCGTCTGCTTGTGATCTACCTAGCTGGCTGGCCCATAGTTATGGGGCTCGTGATCGACATTGTACATAGTTTGTGTATCAACCACAACAAGACCAGAGACTGAGTGTTCCTGAACCAGAGTGGCCCATTCTCTTTTGTGTTGTTGGTAAGGTGAGCCATAGGTTTCACTCTGTTTCAAAATTCAAAATAAATTTATATTTCTCTACAAAATCTTTTTACTAGAATAAATATGAGATGAAAGTTCCTTCCATATATACAATGGGTCTAGGCCGTAGTGGAACGGTCGTCACCAAAACCGTTCAAGATTACATGGGCACAATTGTATCGAAGACTGATACATGACCTATACACTCAGCAACATAGAGCCCCAATTTGTTTGGCAGGAAAGTAACAAGAGTCGTGTCTTGTTCAGCAGGTTCTAGCTGCAATGCATGCACATGCACTATGCTTCTTCATGAGCTTCTGACTCAATTTTCCAATACATCCCACTCCGCTGCTAGATCATGTTGTGTGACAGTTGGTGCCATTCACCCTACTCATTATTGGTGCTCACCTCCCATGCTTTGCCATCCTCTACCAGTCTCCCAAATGTGATCCATCTACAAGAATAAGCTACCTATTTATAGGAGGTCACCGATCGATTAACGCTGTGTGTGGCCAGGACATCATCATTGCTTCACCAAACATCACATGCCGACAATTTTGATCACTGCTGACATTCATACCACTCATGGCATTTCTAAATATGAGAACCTTTGTGTGAATTAGCAGCGTGACTCTGATCTCTTTCTCCACGAGGACCAACTCACGATGGAGTACCAAACAGAGAATCAATAGATGGAGTAAGGCAAGGGGCAAACTAGGTTTCAAGTGAGGGTGTAGAGGAACAACGCGAATATGAGATTCAAAAGGGTGAGTATGGTAGCAGTCCTTTTTGGCATGTCAGTTTATATAAACTACAGAAAATCCGTTAGTTTTATAGATGAACCAAATTCGAACAGTGAGGGGCTAACAATGTCCAATGAGATCCGCATACCATTTTGTGCCGCCACGGAGACTATCGTACAAAATCAAAGTGGAGTTAGACATGCTAGGGTTGTAGCCACACTAGTCAGGGGAGGCGCATGCTGCTTCTTTGCAAAACCCTACTCGACCAATCAATCAATCGGCCAGTCCCACCCATTCTAGGACTCATCAATTAAACCGAGGCGAGAGAGGATCCAACCAATCAACGCGATCAAGACCTCTTTCCCCTGAGGACAATCACACGATCGGGCACCAAACAGAGGACATATGGATGTATGGATGGAGGAGGGGGAGGGGGAAACCATGGTTCGGGTGAGTGTGCAGAGGAACTGCGTAGACCTTGTAGAGCGTGTCTGCGGCAGCGATGGCGACAGACGGCCGGCTGATGAGGTGGTCCGCGAAGCTCTGCTCTCCCCCTCTGCTGCTACTGAAGAACATTTTTTTTCTCTAACAGAAAAAATGGTTTGGATGGGCGCCATTTACCAGGCTGCTCCATACAAGTTGGGCTTGAGCTCAACATAAACACTTGCTGATATTCTC